AAATATGGCGACAAAGATGAGGACAATAGTCCGAATAATGTAAATAGTGTACATAATACCTCATCTTAGAAATATAGACAGATACTGAAGGGCCGAAACTTTGTAATAAATATGGCGACAAAGATGAGGACAATAGTCCGAATAATGTAAATAATGTAGATAATACCTCATCTCAGAAATATAGACAGATACTGAGGGGCCGAAACGTTGTAATAAATATGGCGACAAAGACGAGGACAATAGTCCGAATAATGTAAATAGTGTACATAATACCTCATCTTAGAAATACAGACAGATTAAAAAAAATGGTGACTTTAAATAAGTGGCATTAAATATCAAGGAAGATAACCCGTAAATAATAAATCAATCGATTAAAACGGAAAGTTCTATTATTTATCGGAGCTAAATGGAGGACGTGACGTATGTGCTAACTAATTTCTTAATCAACGGAGGAAGAAGCTGAAATATGATATGAAAATAAAGATGGTTGTAATGTACTATTGACTGTATTTAAACTCAGATATACGCCGGAAAATTTTTGGCATTTATATTCACTGTCTATCGATTTTGCCGACACCGTTTTTCGTTAATCAGTTTCTCTAGGAAGAAACAGAATATTTCTGGCCGCCGGGGTAAGGCGGGTGGGGGGAGAAATGATGAGTCAGCAGTAAATTTTATCCTTTAATTTTGTCTGCGCCATTTTACATTTTACACAGTGTGCAGGACATGGCCGATTCAGAATCGAGGGAAGGTGGGTGGTCCGATTGAAAAAATTTTTCTGACAGACCAGGGTTTTCATATATATGCAGGGGGATGTTGAAAGGTTCTCGGCCCGACCAAGAAGCACTGCCCCCCCCTGCACCAAGGCATATAGGATGGGTTTTTTTTTTTTTTTTTTATAAGTGATTTCTGTCGGGAAATTTACGAGAGCCTCGGAAGACTCGAGGTTATCTTCGCTAGTAAAATAAAAAAAAAAAAAAAAAAACAATCAAAACTCACCTTTCTCTCTCCCATTCCTTCTTTCTTACTTTCTAGTAACTCACGAATAAATCTCTCTTATATCCGGGTTTCTCTTATATCCGGGTCTCTTATATCCGGGTTACTTTTTGATCTCGTGGATAGAAAGAAAAGACATATCAGAGTCGCTACATGGGTCGAGCGAGAATACGAAAGAAAGGAAACAGGGAAAATAGAAAAATGCGATAAAACGCTTATGTTTTTAACTTGTTTCAGGGAAATAGGAAAAAAAAGTTATCAATTTTAAATCTTTTCATTTGGATCCAGTTCTCAAAACGTCTTCAAGCGAAAAGCAAAACACGTATCAAAAACGCTACTTGGTTTCACTGAGAAAATGAATAAAAGAAAGAAGGCTAGAATAGAATTGTATAAAGACTGTTTCAGTGAAATAGAAAAGTGATCAATTTTCTCAAAATAGCTACACCCTAAAAACAACACCATCAAAAAAAAAAAAAAAAAAAAAAAAAAAAAAAAAGAAAGATGCTACTTATTTCAGTGAGAAAATGAATGAAAAAAAGAAAGATAAAATAGTTTAACGGCTATTTCAGTAAAATGGAAAAAGTTATCAAATTTAAACCTTTTTATCTGTGCTCACTTCTTAAAATAGCTCCAAGCGAAAAACAAAATATATGAGACGCTATTTGCTTTCACTGAGAAATGAAAAAAAGAAAAAAAGAAAGAAAGAAAGAAAGAAAAAAAAAGAAAGAAAAATTTTTATGGTAGAGAGTTCCAAAGAAAGAAAGAAAGAAAGAAAAAGAGGTTATGGTAGAGAGTTCGAAAGAAAGAAAGAAAGAAAGAAAGAAAAGAAAGAAAGAAAGAAAGAAAGAAAAAGAGGTTATGGTAGAGAGTTCGAAAGAAAGAAAGAAAGAAAGAAAGAAAAAAAGAGGTTATGGTAGAGAGTTCGAAAAAAAAAGAAAGAAAAAGAAGAAAGAAAGAAAAAAGAGGTTATGGTAGAGAGTTCTGTCTAGAAAGAAAGAAAGAAAGAAAGAAAGAAAAACAAGAAAGAA